AGGTTAAAAAGTCTTTCACTAACTTTTAACATAAAATTCACTGTCATTTAGTAAATTGACTCATATTTTGGTATTTTTATTAATATTTATCAAATATTGACGAATTAGTGGACATTTATATGCTATTAAAGATCGTCTTTATTGAAGCGAACAATCATTTGAAACACATTTCTTGTTGAGTAAAAGACATCGAAAGGAAATTATTAAGAAAATGTGCGATAATATAAAGGAAGAGTTGGTTTCAGAGACTGACGAATACATCGACGAATTATTTAATCCCACGGAAGACGTGAACAAATTAATCGAATATTTGGATGCAATTAAGATCTCAGATGCGGACGATTCGGACAAAGAGGACAATAATAATGAGGATTTGAACGAAAACACAGAATTGCAGAAATACTTCAAGTCATTGGATAAAATGTATTTCAAGGAAAAGCTAACAGAGAATAAAGTTTCAGTGGTTTTCTCAAACCGTTTGGTCAAGAATTGGTCCCGAATTGTAAAGCCTAAAGAGTAAGACATTTATAACATTTCTAATTGTATTGAATTAAAAATTACTCTTCAATTGAAAGTGGGATTGAAATAAGGATTTCACACGAATTGATGGATAGAAACCGACGCTTAGAATTACACGACCATTTGGTCGACTCTATGATTAAGTCCTCACAAATGATCGATCGGGCGATTGGTATGAAAATGAGTTTTATTTTATTGAAAACTAATTTTTATTGTAATTAAAGCCAAAGAAATGGATAAAAATATAGACCAAAATGCAGACCCATATGAATGTGAAAGACATGAGGAAAGTAATGATTGTGCGAATGATTTGCATGAAAATGACAAACAAATTGAAAAGCCATTCAAAAAGGTAACCATTTATGAAATATGATTAAAACGATTAATTAAAACGAATGAATGCATCGAAAGGATGATTACGTGAGTGAGAGAGCGATGTCTGGGAGAGAACTGAGGGATAAAATGGACGAAATCGAGAAAATCTCTTTAGTCGACGACATTCTCGAAGAATTGGATCCCAAACCAGATATCAATGAATTGTTTCGCGTTTTCGACGAAAGATATTTCGAGGGAAAGCTTCGCTCGAATGACGTTCAGGTGATGTGGAGTTACGCTATGAACAGAAGCGCAGGAATTACTTACCATAAGTTTAAGTCAGTTATTATTAACCCATTAGTAATGAAAACACTAATTATGACACTATATTGTGACCAAAACACTGATGCAGTGATCGACCGATTATTATCCGTTTGTCGTATAAGATCTTAAGGACTGCTCCGCGAAGACATACCGTGGAAACACTTCTCCATGAGATGATTCACGCGTGGATTAACATCCATGACATCAATGGTATAACCAATGGAAGTGATGGCAGAATATAATGGTTTGCTTTACTCATGGCTTTACAGATGGAAAGGACGGACACGGAGTCGTGTTTCACAAGAAAATGCATGAATTGAATGCCAAAACCAAAACACATATCACTGTTGAGCACAACCTCTTGGTTCCCGACTATAACCACAACAACTGATTCATTAGTCATTCAAACGCTATTCAAATGTCGTTAAATTTAATACAAAATATAAAACAATTGATATTTAGAAAAATAATGGTTTGATTGAAATTAAATATTGACTTAAAATATATAATTAATAAAACAATTAATAAATGATATAATTTTGTGTGAAATTAATTGTGAATTCATATCTAAATCGGTGTTTAAATGAGAGAAAAGACGACAAGAGTTGACTCAAATGGTGACCAAAATGTGTGGAAAGAGTGTTTGCATTGCATTTCAATCACTGTTTCGAATGAGAAGTGAAGACAAGTGACGACACAATCGATGGATCAATGCTTTGAAAGAGGAGTTTGTGTTTGCAATGAATGCACAGAAGAGTTGACACCAAATGTCTGCCACAAACCAAAGGGCTGTCAATGCGTTC